ATATATATATATATATATATATATATATATATGTATTAGGGGTGTAACGGTTCACAAAAATCACTGTTCGGTTCGATACGACACAGTGGTGTCATGGTTTGGTATGTTTTTGATACAGCAAAAAAAGAAAAAAGCCAGATGATTTCTCTGATTAAAATTTTTTAATGTATTAAGCTAACATCATAAAAGTATGATCTTGTTTTTTTTTTTTTTTTTTTTTTTTTTTTTTTTTTTTTTTTTTTACTTATAGAGCTATGACAGAGCTATACTTCTGGGGTTTCTGTTTAGCAGCAAATAAAACAAATCCTTCTCCATACTTAAAACCAAAAAGCTTCCTATAAAAAAAATAAATGTAATTTTGTAGTAGTTAAACAAATAAAAAGAAAAGAACAATTTAGTTTTTATATGGAAATCAGTTTCAATCAATTTTTAAGTAATTTTTGTTATTTTCAGAAAGATGAGTGTCCACCTTTTCTTTAAACAGCACAGATCTGCTTGATTTGACTGTCACCTGTCATTTTAGTGGATCTGAAAGCAGGAATTATTTGACTGAAATGGGCTTATGAAGGAATAATGTAACGGGGCTCTATTACATTTAACATTTTCTTAAAACCCGAAATTTCCACTACAGATTAAAGTCTAATGCTGTGTTCACACCAGACGCGGAACGCGCGGATAAATTGCGCTATTCGCACGTAAATACCCACATGAACATTTGAGTTTACTCGCTTCATTCGCGCGTCAACCCCCGCTTCATTCGCGCGTCAAATTCACTTCAAAACAGACGCAGATACACGTGATGGGCAGGGCTTCTGTCTGCCCGGTGACTCTAGCTTCATAGCTAAATGGCTAACATGGATTTTATTAAGAAAATAACAGTGTGAATGTGCTTTATGGAGACTGAAAAACAGCGTTGATACGTTTAGGGTCCTGTCTGAGAGCACTGCATCCTTTCAGAGGTGCATCCAGCTTTTTAAGCTCATAGACTCCTCCAGAAACTGAACCTGGCTGATGGAGGTTTTCTGCGGTGCTTCTGACTGAGCCCAGCCCAGTTTGATGAACTTCTTGTCGGTGTCTGCTGGGGGATTTCCCCTGGGACACCGACAACAGGCGATACGTCACAATCACGCCCCCACAAAAGCAAGCTCCTGATTGGTTAACGTGGCGCGAATGTCCGCTAAAGTTCAGATTTTTGAACGTGAGTGATTCGCGCGAAACATGCATTAAGCGCGTCAAACGCGCAAAACGCTCAATTCGCGCCACGCCATTCACGCGTATCGCGCCGCAGGATGTCTATTCGCGCGTTTGCATTGACTTAACATGTAAATCACTCGCGCTTGACGCGCATGCTGCGTCTGGTGTGAACGCAGCATAACAGGGCTCGAAATTAACCTTTTTTCTTGGTAGCACCGGCGCTCATAACTTCCAAAAATGTAGGCGCACCAGACAAAATTTAGTCGCACCCACAAAACGTTATGAGCACCATTACTACACGTTTTATATTAACAGATTCTAATATATATATTAACACTCTAATCACAACTAACAAATAAACAAAAATCTGCATGAGCTCACCGGCCCTGCACGCACTGCTTGAAGTGAATGAGATGAACTGAATTAACAAGAATCACTGTGCTGTTCTCACAGGTGATGTCTGATATTGCACAGATGATATAATAACTTATTATTTGCATATGTCATCTTAATAGCAATAATGGTCTTTTCATGAGCTGCAATATTAGTTTCATTTCGGTGAATGCATGCGATGGTAAACGTGGTATCACGTGGTATCAATCGCACAATTGACAGCATCTTGATGATTAAATGAAGGATTAAATAACGTTAGAACATCTCGTGCTTAAAATGTGTAGATTCAGGGGCAAACACGGTTACCTGAAAACTCCATCCCACCAGCTTTACGGTCAATGCTTTAGTCATGGCGGACTTTAAACACTGGAAGTCTTTTGTCCACTCTTCGAAAAGTGTAAATGCTTGATTGACATTTAGCACATGATCACTTATTAGATGTGTCATTAGTTGTAACTCTAGCTGGTTTCTAAAACTAAATCTGCCAGTGTCGTTTTCATTCTCTCGTATCCAGACCTTTACATTTTCACGGCTGTGACACCCTGTCATCGGAACTGAATGATTGACAGCTGATAATAAACAATGCTTTTGCGTTCTGTTCTAGCGTAGTGGGCCAATAAGAAGAGCTTGAAGGCAGGGCAAGCATTGCGGGCTTTTTTTGCACTTATTCTATTTCATCTTTTTAGATATTAGTCTGAATCATTCGGTTTGCAATGCATACCGAACCGAAAGTGTCGTACCAAACAGTTCAATACGAATATCCGTATTGTTACACCCTTTATATATATATATATATATATATATAAGAAACTATTGATTTAGCACTGAGCCCTGGTGAACTGGTCTGGGTGTTGCTGGCTTGTTCTCTGGATACCCAGAAAAACATTTTCTAACAGAATCTGGAACCCAAGGCTGTAGATCAGATTTATCTAGCATGAAGAGTGTGATCTAGCAGATCGTACCTTCTTTACTGTACCAAGGACCTGACAGATCTTGAAGATCTCATCCACCTCACTGTTGCCAGGAAACAGAGGTCGTAGCGTGTAGAGCTCAGCCATGATGCAGCCTACTGCCCAGATGTCTATGGGTGAACTATACACTGGTGACCTCAACAGCACCTCTGGAGCTCGATACCTGAACACAAACATAAAAGTTTTTATGTGAGTAGAGCAACTTGGTGGCCATTAGACAACAGATTTTTTTAAACTTGTCAAGGTTGTATTTGGGCGGTTCATTCCACTGCGACGACCCCTGATAAATAAGGGACTAAGCCGAAGGAAAATGAATGAATAAATAAAGGTTGTATTTGACATAACTTAAGCACTATATTATATTAAATAAGGCAATCAAAAGAATTAGTATCACATTAAAGTGAAAAATAGTGTCAGTGAAAACAGTCCAGTGGGCAGTGCATCAACATAATGTGCAAATAAGCTGTAGGCGTTCTGAGTTTCAAGCTCGTGGGGTTTTCTGGATCCTATCCCCCTCTTTCTTCAACTTCTCTTCCTGTCAATATGCTGTTTTGTCATAATAATATATGTTCTTAAAATTAATTAATAATGGTACTATTGATATTGACATGCACATAAAAATAAGTGTTTAAGTGGTAACATTATATATTTATTTTTTAGTTATGCCTTTATTGTGTTTGTGTTCTATTATTTATCTATCTGGGTGCTATATTAGACAGCAACTTAACTTTTGAAAGCTATATCTCCCATGTCACAAAAACTGCCTTCTTTTATCTGAGAAATATTGTTAAGCTACAAAGCAAGCATCTTAGATGCAGACAACTCATGCTTTTATGACTTCTAGGCTGGATTACTGTAATGCTCTGTTCGCTGGTTGCCCAGCATCCTCAATTAATAAATTAAATTCAGTTAGTCCAAAATGCAGCTGCCAGAGCTCTTACCAGACAACCCTCCTCCCCCCTAAAAGAACTAGCTAATATTTATCTAACCAACCTTCTGTCTCACTACAATCCAACCCACTTTTTAAGATGTCAAAACTCAGGGCTTTTGGTAGTATACAGAATAGCAAAATCTACTAAAAGAGGTTGAGCCTTCTCATATATGGCTCCTAAACTCTGGAACAGCCTTCCTGATAAATAATTATTATTTCCAACTTCCAATTTTTTTTTTTTCAAATAATACGCGATAGAGGTTGGTGACTCTAGAGTAATTTAAACGAGAGCGGGTGGTCTAAAAATATAGCGCTCCTGAGAGATGTGTGTGTGTGTGATTGAGACAGTGCACGCATCTGTCGTGGTGCTTTATGTCGCTTGTTATAGGTTGTCTGGTCTCTGTAGCATCCAGCTGAGTGTTTTTTGGGAGGCATATTTAATCGCTACATTTTACATTCTTTCTTGGCCCAATATGTACCTGCTATGTGTATATAAATAATGCTGATATGATATATGAAACACAATCGGTTTTTGGCAAACATATTGAGTGGATATGTTTGTAAATCTGACTTTGAAAGAGTCAGTGCCTCACCAGTAACAAACCTCACCGCATATCACGTGGCACTGATGTCTCATCACAAAGGGGCAAATAAAAGTGACTCTTTTGGTAGAACCCAATTTTAACGAGAGATTTTGGAAACCAGATCTAAATTTAACGGGAAAGGTTGAGTTGGGTAAGAAATAGGGCGGGGGGAAAAAAAAGCTAAATATACAGCGGGAGCGGTCTGGTGTGGAATAAAACATAGCCGTAGCATTTAGTACTTGCAATATATTGTAACATTTTTGCAAGTTACTTGTACATTGCTTTCTTATGTTGTGAATTTTTGTTGTGAAATCCCATGTCAGAAAAGATCTCATAAAGGGTGCTAGTGTGATGTCCCAATACAGTGTTTTTGCACTCTTACCATCGCGTTGAGACGTAGTCTGTGTAAGGTGGCCGAGAGCGGATCTCACGTGCCAATCCAAAGTCAGCAATTTTCACCAACTCAGGACCCATACATAACAAATTTTCTGGTTTCATATCACGGTGAAAAAATCCTACAGTATCACAGCAAAGAGATCATTTGCAGTTATTATAAAGTATCAAGTATTATAGAAGTTAAAATTGTTACGGCTTATGTTATGAAGCTTATTAAGACCTGTTCACAGCAAGAACAATATACCTAAAAAACATTTGTCTTGTTTCTAGTCTAAATATGAAAAATTCTAGAAAATCTTGAAAATCCAATAAAAATTTGTTTTTTTTTCTTAAAACAAGCAAAATAATGTAAAAACAAATTTATTTTACGTACCCTTTGGTCAGATCTTTGTTTAAAAGAAAAGCACACTTAATTTGGACTACTTATAGATATTTGGACAAAAAAAAGACAAATACTCCAAGTAAGAAAAGTAATTTTGTTGTGTAAATATAAAGCCTTGTTTATACTCGGCTCAAAACCTGAGGGATGAGCTTGTTAAAGCCAAAAGAGGCCATGGCAAAAGTGGAGGCACAGGTGGCTTTAATACACAATTACAGAATTACTGTTTTTTCACTATTTATTTTGAATTTCAAAACGATTGAATAGTTACAAAACTATAAGGAACAAATTATTTCTTTGAAAAATGAAAGAGAATAATTGAACCTATAGGTTTACAACATACAGATGGCCTGTTTATTTAAGCTTCATTGATGAAAATGGTCACGGATGTTGGGTCGTTATTGCCTGTTTAGAATTTAAGTACAAAACAAAAACTAGCCAGACAGTAATGTGTGAACTGTGAAGTGGGCTAAATCATAAAAAAAAAAAAAAAAAAAATCAGTGTATTTAGTAAGTGTATTTTTTCTTGCTTTTATTCTTACCATAATAAAGAAATGTATCGGTCACACTTTAAAATAAGGTTTATTAGTTAATGGTAGGTAATGCATTTACTAACATGAACAAACAATCAACAATACATTTACTAATGTATTTATTCATGTTAATAAACGTTAGTTAATGAAAATACAGTAGTTCATTGTTAGTTCATGTTAACTCATGGTGCATTAACTAATGTTAACAAGCATGGACTTAAATGTTAATAATGCATTAGTAAATGTTCAATTATGATTAATAAATGCTGTACATGTGTTGTTCATGATTAGTTCATGTTAGTAAATGCATTAACTAATAACCCTTATTGTAAAGTGTTACCAATATATCCATAAAGTAACCCATGATCTATTGTCATTAATATGTTAATAAACTTTAATAGGTAGAAATATCTGAATTTTGAACAAAAGCAAGTGATGCAACAAAGTTTGATTAAAACTTTTTTAATTTTTTATAAAAATCTTTAAAATCATAAAAATGTATAAAAATATTTACTTATAAAAACCCTGAATGATTTTAATTATATGACATACTTCTGGAAACTTCTTACTTCTCTGTTTATCCGTCTGATTTTACAGTTGATCTCTTATGACTGCCCCCTGACGTTTAAAAGAATCTCAATGGCGAAAGCGTACAGAAGGAAGATGAGACCCCCTCTAATATAATTTTCGCTGTAATTTAGTCGACTCTTTATTCCATGTGATAAATAAACTAAAAGTCAGTCAACAACTTGAACTGTAAAAATATTAAGTAAAGTTGAATTGAGCAGTCTATATGCTTTCCATCTTAAAAATATATATAATGCATTGCTAATGAGTTTATCACTTTCCCTTTCCTTCGACGTAGTCCCTGCTTTTTAACAGGTTTAATTAATTATAAAATTTATTTTTATGAATTGGTATTATCATCTAAACAATTTTATGATCATTTCAGTTATTACATTTTAGGTGCTAAGCTTTAGCACCGAATAAATGAAGTCATAAGTACAGATGACTTGCAAAAAATAATAACAAATGTGCATCCTGGCTTTATTATTAATATACATAGAGCGCACATGGTTGTGACATGCAAAAGTGAGCGCATTCAAAGCGATTTCATAATCTTGCATATTGTCAGCGGCTTTGTCATACGTGTACATTATTAGACTACACAATATCGTTATACTTGAATAACGTCCTGAATGAAGCAGTCAATGCTCCTTCTTGTTCACAAAGATGAACAATGAAGGCGCAAACCATCATTCAGGTCTTCTGCTTTGATGATGATGAACCTCACTGAGACTCCATCCTCGGAAAAAAAAACTTTGGATCTGCGCAATCACAGGGGTAGCCCCATTGAGCTCACAAAATACGAAAATCCATATTTATATGGAAGAATCACATCCCTGATAAAACCTTGCAAGGTGCGCACACTGAGCGCAGGTGCACGATGCGATGCCAGGCGAAAGCATAAATCAGCCTTAAAGGGTCACGAAACACTAAAACACATTTTTTGAGCTGTTGACAGTCATATATGTGTCCTATGCTGCTATAAACACTATTAGGACACATCTATTACACAAAAAAGTCAAAATAGGTTGTTTTTACGTTATTTCGGGCAAATTCGTTCTTCTGGTTTGAAACTTATTTTTGAAGCTGCGTCACAACGATTAGATCCTTGTGTGTATTCCAGCGTGTAGACTGGCTGTCTGTACCTGGGAGTACTTTGTGACGTCTCAGTGTGCTGCATTTATTCATGAAAAAGCCTTGGTTCAAATCAGTCAGCGCACTCTATTGTGTATGCGGTGCAAGTTCATTAATACGCATGATAGCTTCGAAGACTTTTTGTAACTGAAACAGTGTTCAGACGGCAGAGAGATGCCATGTTGTGTTGCGAAAACAAGTGGAAGAAGAAGAACTGTTTGGAGATACGAGTCGTCACGGTTGCATTTTTAAATAAGCTGCAACGAAGGTTTTGTTTTCATTTTCCCGCCATGAGAGCGCAGGTGGACTCACGTGTTGATTACAGTACACGAGACAGAAGTACGTTTGTACGGAACATTTTTTTACTCGAGAGCCGGATTTGTTGCTCTTCTCCTTTAAAAAAAGACGCGGCTCCAGTTGGTGTTGATTGTCCTGTCTTTACAGATTTGGTAATGAATTTTGGCGATCAGATGTCTTTGTTTGTTTATTCAGATGGCAAAGCTAGTTGAACGGATTCTAATCGGCTGTCCATGTTTTTGTTGTTTAACAGATGAAAAAAAAAATCCAAAAGTGTCTCCAAAAATACCAATCATGTGTTTTTCTCAATATAGTTGTGTTTTTTAAATTAAAACAATTACTAAAACGTTACCGAAATCATTATGGCTAGCGTTCTTGGTGTAAACAGGTGCTTAAAGAGAGTTAAAGAGAAAAACTCACCATGCTTGTGCACAAATGCCAAACCAGAGAGAACTTGAAACATGATGTTCCTTATTTCATTCTCAGTAAACATCTTATTTTCCCTTGTGTCAGAGTATTTCACACACACAAAAAGACACAAAAGAAAAAAAGAAACAGAGGAAGAGGATAAGAGAAGAGTAGTCCCAAAAGTAACCCATTAGATATGTGAGACTCAGTGGTTTTCTCTTTAGCTGCAGCTGTAGAGAAGGGTAGCATAAACTGAGAAAGCTACAGCTTAGCTTCACTAAAAGGATCACTTAGAAAAAGAAATGATGTGCCAAATGGAAAATGATACGCTTTTCAGGTTTAATAGGATTAAATTCAACTTTTTGGCAGCAAATGAGATACTCACACATCCTGTCACCACAGAGATACAAGAACAACTGAGCTTTATTATTTATTTACTTTTTTCAACATTTTTTGTTTCAAACAGTTTCAAAATTCAGCCTGTAGTAGGTCTTCATTTGAAACTGCACTCAGACTCAGTTGTTCTAGTAGTGGACATGAATTTGACAGCCCTGTGACCTACCATGCTTATGAATAAATGATAGTCCCTGCAATATTTGAAAGCTTATATTCCTGATGACTGACTCTGGGAACAATTTGGTTCTGGAGACAGAGAATCAGCACAGCTGTCAAACAACTGATGTTCACCAGCCACACTTACGATCTTTTAAACATTTTGTAACCATGGTTCATTTTGACATAACAACTATAGGTTAAGGCAAATTCAACTTTTTGGAAGGAATTATGGGCACTTAATAACAGCAAACAAGAATCTGACTGATATAGAATCTCATCATACCTGTCTTTCATGAGCTGGTAGAGGTTTTCTTTCATGTATTCAAAGACAAAGTACAAGTGATCATTCTCTCGTATCACCTCCTTTAGCTTCACCACATTAGCATGATTCAGTTTCTTCAGCGACTGCAACAGAAAATGGAAAAATCCAGATTTATAAACTAACATCTAACTTCTATTCATGCAACATCAAAACTGGGAAAAAGAAAGAAAGAATAATGTCTAATATTAACCATCTTATGAAGTACCTAAATGTATATAACTTGAATTTGTGATACTGATAATCAAAGCAAAAATATACATTTAAAATACATTCATGAAAATTACATCTGAAATTCTTAGTTGAGGAAATGAGTGTTCTCTCTATGTTTGGGTTATTTTAAAGGTACAGTATGTAAGTTTGACGGCCAGTGGTTGAACTAGGTATTGCACATCTGGTTCAAAACAAACACAAGTGCAGGTTGCCAGATTGACAAGACAGCAGTGTGCTGACTGCAGTGCCTAAAGGCTGATTGAAGGCTGATTTAAACCTAAATAAAAGCAACGGTACGCAATACAAGGAACATCATAAATGGTATATCATACACGGGTGCTGATATATAATTGGCTAAACTGGCAGTGGGCGGTTTAAATAAACCAAAACAAAAGCCCCTTTCACACATACAGACCTTTCCGAAAAATTACCGGCAATTTTCCGGAAAGGTCTGTATGTGTGAAAAGGTCCTTTTTAAAATACCGGTAAATTCGTTCCAGCTATTTTCCAGAAAGAAAAGTTGTAACATTACCCGGTAATTTGCCGGAATGCTGCATTGTGAACACAGAAGGAAGATTGCTGGAAAGAGCGCGTGCACGTCCAGAACGTGCTGACGTGAGACGTCTACTTTAGCCAATTAGTACAGTCAGACGCATTCACGCCCGCACGATTTATAAAAATAAAAGCCATTGAATATTTTTCCAGACACATTTAGCTGCTAGATCAGGGGTGGCCAACCCTGTTCCTGGAGAGCCACCTTCCTGCGGATTTCAGTTGCTACTCATATCAAACACACCTGAACCAATTAATTAAGACCTGAACACCAAGTGATAATTACAGGCAGGTGTGTTTGATATGGGTTGCAACTGAAATCTGCAGGAAGGTGGCTTTCCAGGAACAGGGTTGGCCACACCAGTGCTAGATGTTAGTCAGACAACGTTTATATGTTCCTTCTTGATGCTAACTTTGTAAATAATTATTGATAAGATGCTTATGATAAGCTGTTGTTTGTTTACCTTCAAGCTCTGCTCTGCTTTATCGGTATTTTGGAATGGATGTGTGAATGGCCTTTTCCGAAAAAAATTCTGTAATGTCCTTGCCTGTATGAACAGCGCTTTTTTGAATTTACTGGTAAAGTCGTTCCGGAAATTTTCCTAATATTTACCGTTATCACTGTGTGAAAGGGGCTAATGACAGCCACTCTGGAATGTAACTCACATGTTCAAAGCAGAACAACTGACTTTAGCATTGTTTCCAGAGAAACAAGAATGTTCACTTAGCATGTTTCTTAAATATCTCCAAATAAATTATGGTATTTTTATGCTTTAGAAGAGTCAAAAACTTACATACAGCAACTTTACAGAAAACTACTTGTAGTTGACTTGATGGCTTTTAAATTATTGTACTTTAAAAAAAGCCGAAGTTGTGTTCACTGAGTTTGCACCTTGACTTCTCTCAGATTCATGCACTCCTCCCAAGAGTAGAACTTCCTCTTCATTCTGTAAGAAACACAATGAATGATCTCATCTCCATGGTTTCATTAACAACAAGCGGCTTAGGAAAATCCGAATCACCACGCCATTATCATTAGAACAATGCTAATATACCTTTACATGTGATTTTAATAGGTTGCGTTCATGAATATACAGAATCATACATAGTTTTTTTTACAACAATAAAATAGAATAAAACATTCATAGACATATTCATTTGCCATTTTTCTACTTATGTAATAACATTTTTTTTTATCTTACTTTGTTTCTATACTGACCAGACTATCAGTCAGATTTTCCAGTTCAATAATACTTGAAACAAAAGCATTTCAGCAGCTGGTATACAGGACCGAAGAATGAGACCTAAGCCTGAAATTCCATGTGGAATTATGTAAGAGACAGCAGCACTGATACTTTCACTGTCACCCAGGCCACTTTCACTGTCACCCAGGTATCAACTTGCCTAGTGACTGCCTTTTCCCGCACAGGCACAACTACACCAAAGAGGGCCATTTATAATTCACATCACCAGCCCCCATTCAATGACCAGACCAAAGTGTTGGGTGAAACTGCACTAAGATGCATTCACAAGAGAAAGTCTGGGTAAGGCAGGTTTGATATGACATTTATGAAAACCCAAGTATTAAATATAACATAGACACATATGGAAAATCTATGAAAGTGCTGTTTTGGTTGTTTTTGTCAGAATGATTTAATATCAAGGGTTTGGGAAATTAAGGCTTAAGAGCTTTAGGCTGAAACATACAAACCCAAGAGTCTGATTAATAGTGGACACTTCAGAAGAGAAAACACGAGAACGATTACAGTAAACTACACCATGGTTCTCATTACTAAACCAGCAATGAGCCCCTCTCTTATTACAATACATAGGTGGCTAAACTGCACTTTACTAGCAAGTTTTTTTCTATTCTTTTCATAAGCTGATTTATAAATGAAACAGCATTATTTCTATAAATATACAAACTAATTTAAGATAGGTACAGGTGTTAATGTTATTAAAATAAGCGCAAGACATCTTTGCCTGCATATTGAATGGATTACTTCAATGCTGGTCATTTTGTCTGACAGTATGTGTTTGAGTGAGATATTGATCTGTTGTTTTCAGGTATAGTATAATGTTTTGGCAAATTCTTTTATGAATGTTGTACATTTTATATGTATTTTGAAGCCTGTATTTATTATTTATTGGTACATCTCTTAAAAACATTTTTAGGGTGACGATTTTACCCTCAGTCCGAGGATAGCATAAAGCATTATGGCCAATACTTATCCTGAAATAAAGTAAAATAGGACTTTAAATGATGATTTTAAACTGTTGCTCTGAGCGCTCTCCACCAACACTCTATTATAAACATTATTAGTCATACAATTGTGATTACTATTCAATGCATTATGATCATAGCACACTAAGCTGAGGAATTTTTATATATAACCTATAAAACGAAAACTATATACACTCACCAGCCACTTTATTAGGTACACCTGTCCAACTGCTCGTTAATACAAATTTCTAATCAGCCAATCACATGGCATGACTCCATGCATTTAGGCTTGTAGGCATGGTCAAGACGGTCTGCTGCAGTTCAAACTGAGCATTAGAACGGGGAAAAAAGGTGACTTTAAATGTGGCATGGTTGTTGGTGCCAGACAGACTGGTCTGAGAATTTTAGAAACTGCTGATCTATTGGAATTTTCATGCACAACCATCTCTAGGATTTACAGAGAATGGTCCGAAATATCCAGTGAGCAGCAGTTCTGTGGGCACAAATGCCTTGTTGATGTTAAGGTCAGAGGAGAATGGCCAGACTGGTTCGAGCTGATAGAAGGCAACAGTAACTCAAATAATAACTCGTTACTACTGAGGTATAAAGAAGGGCATCCATGTACACACAACACAGCAAACCTTGAGACAGATGGGCTAAAGCAGCAGAAGACCACACCGGGTGCCACTCCTATCAGCTAAGAACAGGAAACTGAGGCTACAATTTGCACAGGCTCACCGAAATTGGACAATAGGAGAGTGGAAAAACATTGCCTGGTCTGATGAATCTCGATTTTCGCTGTGACATTCACCTTTTGGATGTGGTGGAACGGGATATTCGCATCATGGAAGTGCAGCCAACAAATCTGCAGCTACTGTGTGATGTTATCATGTCAATATGGACCAAAGTCTCTGAGGAATATTCCCAGCACCTTGTTGAATCTATGCCATGAAGGATTGAGGCAGTTCTGAAGGCAAAAGGGGGTCCAAACCGGTACTAGTAAGGTGTACCTAATAAAGTGGCCAGTGAGTGTACATTGCAATTCTGATTTAAAATGTAACCAAATGAGCCCTTTAAAAAATTATTATACCAAAAGAAAGATTTGTCCAAAAAACATTCTAAAAAAAGACCCGGTACTGGTAAGGTGTACCTAATAAAGTGGCTGGCATACAGTATACACTGCAAAAAAATTATTTTCTTACATATATTTGTTTTCTTGTCCAAATATCAAAAAAAATAGTTTTAAGGAATAATTTGACTCATTAAGACAATAGTTTTTGCTTGTGTAGTAAATGCTTCTTGATTTAAATGTCCCATAAAATTAAAATAACATATTTTAGATGTTAGTATCAGTGTTGTAATTTAGATATCTATTTGCTATTTTGCTCCAAAACAGTGACAAAATTTGTGTTTAGAAAATCCAAACTGATACAAACATGTAAAACTTGTAGTTTGAGACCTCCTCCTAAATTAATCAACGGTTTTTCTAACATCACCTCATACTAGATCTTATCAAATCATAACCAATCAAATGCACTCTAGTATCTTACATGCCCCACCCACTTTAAGCGTTTTTCATTTGCTTTTTATTTGATGCACTTGAGCTCAACCACTTCCACTGGCAGAGCGGAGATAAAACAAAACGCTATTGGTTGTTTTTAAAAATGCCCCACCCTTTCTTTGTGTTTGGGTTGAGATTAACAAAAAAAAAAAAAAAAAACATCAATAAAAAAGCATATTTTAAAGCACTTAACGGGACTTTTATGAATTTTTAGAAACAAGACAAACATTTTAAGTAAGAAAAGCATTTTTGCAGTGCTCATACTTCAAATAAAAGTCAACACAAACCCTCGTAAAAGTCTTAACACTGAAAATGCGTCTAACGCGTTTAAACATGCTTCTGTAAAGAACAGGAGTCCATTCTTCGTACCTCGCTTAAATGATCCAAGATGATTTGGCAGATCCTGGATCTTTTAATCTTGATAACTGATCTCTGGCTAATTTAGTTTTTCAAACAAGTTCGTGAATCAGATTAAAATGTCTGGATAAACTAATCTGAGATGGCTGCGTGTGTTGTGAAGGACAGATCTACGGTTTGTTAAATATGATATGCAATAACTTTACGTATTTGTTGTGCCCTGCAGGCTTTACACTTTCATGTGACAAGTGTCTTTAGCAATTTATTTAGTTTTCCAGTTAGAGCGGATTTTCTTTATTATAGTAGCCATAGTAGTATTATAGTAGCCGGTTTCTTGAACGTTGTGAAGAATAACTGGATGTTTACAAAAGCATTTTGATATTGGTAAAGGTGTCTGCAACTTTTGTGAAGCATCAAATCACCGTCATATTAACTGTCAAAACATGTTTATGACTGCATAAATGTATTATTCCTTTAAAAAAAAGTTGCATATTGTGCAAGTTTATTATTATACACAAATTGTACTAAAGCGATCTAAAAATTTCCACCAGATGGCAGTCTTTGTACTTTTATTTTGGAGTGCATATTGCATAAGTCCTATTAATAACTTCATACTCATAGTTAAAAAATATAATTAATATTTTCCCAAGTGTATATAACTACTACTGTAAAAAAATATCAAAATTCGGTACATTCTTTCAGTATCATCTTTGCTTGAACTGACCCGATCTAATCCTGTTTATATGAATTAAGCCTGCTCCCTAGCAGGTTTGAGCTTTCAGAACTGTTGCTATGACAACAACTCTCGGATCAGTTTTGAAGAACGAAACGATCCTGGATTGTGTCAAATCGTCAATAACCAAATCCAGCTAACGAAGTAATCCACGTATGAAGAACAGACCCCAGACCTGTATATGACAGACAACAAAATCGAAATAAAATCTTGATTTAAAGCTTTTAGAGACTACCATTGAAAAGCAGGATGTACATACATCTGAAACCTGGCTAACAACTTTGTGGCCACTCCAAATGTGGAAGCAAATAGTCAGATTTTGATTAAAAAAAAAATAAATAAATAAATAAATATATATATATATATATATATATATATATATATATATACACTTGAAGTCAGAATGTTTTGCCCCCCTGTTTATTTTTTTCCAAAATTTCTATTTGACAGAGATTTTTTCAACATATTTCTAAACATGATAGTTTTAATAACTCATTTCTAATAACTGATTTATTTCATCTTTGCCATAATAACAGTAAATAACATTTGACTAGATATTTTTCTAGACACTTCTATACAGCTTAAAGTGACATTTAAAGGATTAACTAGGTTAATTAGGTTAACTAGGCAGATAAGGGTAATTAGGCTATTTATTGTATAAAAATGGTTTGTTCTGTAAAAATATATAGCTTAAAGGGGCTAATAATTTTGACCTTAAAATGGTGTTAAAAAAATTAAAAACTGCTTTTATTCAAGCTGAAATAAAACAAATAAGAGTTTCTCCAAAATAAAAAAAATTATCAGACATGCTGTGAAAATTCCCTTGCTCTGTTAAACATCATTTAGAAAATATTAAAAAAAATAAATAAAAAACATTCAAAGGGGGGCTTATAATTCTGGCTTCAACTGTATAAGTATATTCAATAGATTAACTTGCACGGATTAATTGTTCACCTAAATAATTACAATGTGTGCTTTGCTAGCAAAATAACCGTAAATTTTGAATTCACATAGACTTTAAAGCAGGATAAGCCAATTCATTCTTTTATTTATTCCATGTTTTGGCTTACTTGCATTTGTTCTATGTTATCAGACCTCATGTCACATCCTGTAAAAAGCCTAACTTTCCTTGGATGTCAGTCCATGTGTCACTGATTAGCAGGAAAGTAAGACAAATTATTTTAGACGCATCTGTCTGACACACCTCTTGATGGCCACTAGTTCTCCAGACTCGTTGCTCTTCCCCATTAGAACGCTGCCATAGGTTCCATCACCCAGCTGCTTGAGTGTAGTGTAACGGTTCATTTTCACCTTTTCACCCAGAGAAACAGTACTGACAGACGGGCGTCTCTCCTCTTAGATTATCTGATCATTGCTATGCTGTAGACAAACTTTGGAAAAGTCAAGCAAGGGATGCCACTCCATCCCACTGTACTGTTGGCACTGAAAGCAAAAACAGAAAATACAATATAACAGTTTACTGTACCTATTCAGCAACAGCACTGTAGTGCACACTTTAAATTTTGACTGATGGTAAAATACATTAAAGACATTTTATTCATGTAATCATTTAAAAAAATACACATTTTTTTGTATACAACTTGTCTTTGAATGATGGATGTCAGTGTTATTTGGGCAATATTGGCAAGCCTAATGTATCCAAGTATGTTCTTAAGAAGATTTTCGTTTTCAGACTGCATAAAACAGAAGTTTGAACCTACTTTGTTAATGCATTTCAGAGAGAAAAGGCCATAAAACATGTTGTTTACAATAAGAGCAGTAATATGGTATTAGTATGAGCCTATAAAAAATTAGAAACTTAAATGATCTCACACCACAAATTTAATGACATCTCACCAAGTAAAACATGGTACAATATCAGGGTTTCCACGCTTTCATTAAAAGCAGATTCAAAGACTTTTAAGGACTTTTAAAAGCACCATAAATTTAAAATCAAACACTCAGTGGTGTAAATTAACTAATTACTGTACCCAAATTACTGTAACGGAATAGTTTTTCTCAGGGATTGTAATTTACCAAGTAGTTTTAAAAATGTGTACTTTTACTTTTGAGTACATTCTTAGTGCTGTATCGGTACTTTTACTCCATGACTTTCCTTCAACCTGCAGTCACTACTTCTTTTTTTTTGTCTATGGGGATTATTTAGAAAAATCAGTCCTGTGATTCCTGTCCAATCAAATCACATATAGAAGGTTATTCTCATGATAATGAACTACCTCAAGACATGGGTGATATTCTAATTATTTAATTTGTAATGTAATTTAAAATTACAGCAAACTGTTTAAAAGCATTAAAAGTGTCCAAGATGTTCAAAATGTTTACACGCACTAACACAGAGACTATTTAGATCAGGGGTCACCAAACTTGTTCCTGGAGGGTCAGTGTCCTGCAGATTTTAGCTCCAACCCAAATCAAACACACCTGAACGAGCTAATCAAGGTCTTACTAGGTATACTTGAAACATCCAGGCAGGTGTGTTGAGGCAAGTTGGAGCTAAACCCTGCAGGGACACCGGCCCTCCAGGACCGAGATTGGTGACCCCTGATTTAGATGCATGTCACACAGGGCTCGAAATTGCGACCATTTTGGTTAATTATAGAATCCATCTGAGTAAGCCAGGTACGACAGGGATGTCCAAACTCGAATAGAGGTAAAGTTGGTTTTATATTCGCACATTCAGACGTTCCCTGTAATAATATAATTTAATAAATGTATTATTTGGAAACTCTAAATAACAAAATCATATTAGCAGCAAATGACTACAACATTGTTCACAGTCAAATAAACAGTGTTATTGTTGTTTTCAAGTCATACTTCCATGCTTATTCCAATCTAATATTCAAAGTAACATGGTAAACAATATAGAGACTTCTAAATGAATAAATGTGCGAATATAAAACCAACTTTACCTCCATCAAACTCAGTCCTGGAGGGCCGGTGTCCTGCATTGTTTAGCTCCAACTTGCTTCAACACACCTGCCTGGAAGTTTCTGTTATAACTTACCTAAAAATAGCTTGATTAGCAGGTTCAGGTGTGTTTAAATGGGGTTGGAACTAAAACATATAGGACACCGGCCCTCCAGGAATAGAGGTAAAGTTGACTGTGAACAATGTTGTTCTTTGATAATCATTTGCTGCTAATATGATTTCGCTATATAGAGTTTGCAAATAATACATTTATGAAATTTTAATATTAACGGCAAAGTCTGAATGTGCGAATAGAAAACCAACTTTACCTCTATGCTCCAGGACCGAGTTTGGACACCCCTGACGTACGAGGAACGGACGCCAGAACGGTTACATCGGCTTAAACCATCCTAACAACATATAAACACCACATAGAAAAGTCATTGCTAACATCAGTAGATCGAGCTTGCATTATAACGTAAATATTGAGCCAAAATGCACGAGGCCCAAAATGACAAGCATTTAGTAAAAGGAAACGAGTAAAGGTTCACAAACCGATCTCTGTCAGTAATCTGGTTTAAGAGGTATTAGTGGATCGACACGGGGCACACGGAGTTAAGATGCTTTTCAAGGTCATTCAATAAGCTGGGCAAGTGTGCACTAACATGGAGAGGTATAAATCAATATATTAACGTTAACATTGCAATAACATGTAATAAGACAATAACGCGTGTTTTATGTATTTAACGTTAAACACAATCAGCATAATCTATCAGTCCTTGTGGTAACGTAACGTTATTGTATTTACATTTCAACATCAATACGCTTAAAAAGCCATAACAGTTTCTTTACTTATAGTTATTAATCATTATTACTCCAAACTGTGTTTTCGTTTGATTCTAGTGATCTTGCTGCAATGTTTTGCCCATGCACATGATGGTGATCGCGTAAACTCACCCGTTGTGATGGCACTCCTCCCCGATAATCGTTGCCTGTGTGTGTAGATAAGACTGATGTGTTTACGAGAGATAAAATAACAGTTTATCTCTCTGTTATAAAGGCGTGATCCATCCTCACCCAGGCAACCGACACTCGCGACGGCCAACAACACACAACCGGTCGGAAGTTTGGAGTCACGTGTATCCGCAAAGGTTCATGGGGCTTGTTGTTCAAATGTTAAACACTTTCTTGCGAGGCACGTATGTTACTTACATTCATCATTTAAATTTATTTTCGGCTTAGACCTTTTATTAATCAGGGGTGGTCACAGCGGAATGAACCGTCAACTTATCCATCGTATGTTTTTTGCAGCAGATGACCTTTTAGCTGCAACCCATCACTGGGAAACTGTTGCTTATTTTATTATGTATTATTTATATATTTTATATTAATAGTAGTAGTAGTATAAGTAGTAGTAGTAGTAGTGTAAATAAAGCTGATCGATTTTTTATTGACTAAAATGTAAATAGGCTAATTAAAATTGTCTATGGATTGAAGTTTATAGGAATTCTTAGTAGCCTATTATTGAGTCAAGAAATGGAACTCTGGGTAATTAAAATACGTTTCACACAGAGTAATTAGAAAAGTTAGATATAATTTTAACAATCTAATAAATTTAGATTAATTTACAGGCTATAAATAATTTTTTAAGTAACTTATCCAACACTAGATTGTGCACAATGTCATCTAAACAACATTGGAATGAAGTATAAATGTTATAACATTTATACTTCATAACATTTATACTTCATTCCAATGTTGTTCCACAGGGATATTCCACAGTATTTCTATAGTATTTTTCTTTTTCGGGAGAAAGCCTTATTTTGGCTAGAATAAAATCAGTTGTTATTAAAAAAAAAAAAAAAAAAAAAAAATTGAGCTCAATATTATTAGCCTTCTTAAGCAATATTTTTGATTGGCTAGAACAACCATTGTTATATAATGACTTTGCTTTAAACTATTTTGTTTATAAATTTTGAAACTACAGCACAGATGGACAGTTTTAACGGCCTTTCTATTAGCACTATGCTGAATAGTACAACAGTAATTTTTCAGTTCCTTATAAAACTAAGTAAGACAGTTTTATTTTTATTTTTTTGGAAAATTTACACTTATGTTATGAAACTTAATTAACAAAATAAATAGGTTAATAACAAAAACTTCAAAATATCATAATTAAAATATCCCAAAATTATGTTTTTGAATTAAATCTAACATCGCTGCATTGAAGAAAAAATACAATAACAAAAAATAAGAAAGAAGAGAGAGAGAGTGGGGAAAAAATTACAAAGCCTCAATCATCAAGAAATAAAAGATTATCATAAGCTTTAATAAACTTATTATTCTTATTATTATTAATACGCTTAAGAGATTCAATATTGTACGAAATTTCAACAAGGAAAGTACTATATAGGGATTATTTATTTTAACTTATTTTTGTGTATAAAAATGTACAGTGTAACACAAAAAAATTACAATAAGATCAAGAGCATGATCATTACATATCTTTTATAGACAAATTTAAATCATGTTTAAATAAGGACAATAAATAAATAATAATGTTATTCTAAAGATGTTTAATTTGAGTGCAACTATAGAATAAGTGAAATAAAGTCTCTTCATTTTTATTGCAAACAAAGTTAGGCCTATATAATGTCTTGCCTAGACCCTTTTCACAATGACTCTTCACTTTCCCGGTAACGTTATCGGTAACGCGTATTTTTAGATCCGGTTTGCCTTTCAATAAATTTCAGGAAAACTTTCAGGAAATTTTACAACTGAATAGCATTGCACAGTGTGAACTGACACTATTAAAGGGTCATGGAAGCCCCCTTTTCAAATTCAAGATAAGAGCACAGAATTACTAATAAGTCTAAGCAATGTCTAATAAAGTAAGTTCTTTTACTCTAAAGTTTTTTTTTTTTTTTTGTATTTGAATAAACGGACACATCCGTTATTCGTGTTATCCTGCCATTTTTTTGATACCTTGACACAACTGTTTGCAGTAGGCTTGATAGGCCTATATGATTGTGTGCCTCTATCTTTTTGAATGTTTAAGGCATCCAAAATTAAATTACTGCTGTTAAAAAAATCGTGGTCGACATTGCTGTAAAATTCCCCTCATTGTTTACCTCTGCTTGGCAAAAAAAGCGCTCTACTATCACAATTTCTCTCTATCACAAACCAGATTTTAAGATGGGCATGTTGTCTATGACTTGAATGATTTTACTTCGTCTACACATGCCGTGTTACCAAAAGATGGCGCAATCGGCTTATTAAGCTCCATGTCACTTGTCCTGGAAAGCTGTTTACCCCAAACCAGTGTTTGTACATTTTAAAAACAACTTTATTTAAATTAGGACCTCAGTCTTGCGTTTTCCGCTGATAGATAAGCTGTTTTGCAGTGCAAGGTGTGAATTAGACTTTAGTATTTTTTTAAATATTATTTTTTTTACTTCAACAAAATAATAATAAAAAAATAAGGAACCTACTAGCACTTTATTTTTATTTTTGGTTAAAAATACAGTACACACACACACACACACACACACACACACACACACACACACACACACACACACAGAGACTGTTACAGAAGTCGGGAAGTTGATGTTGGGTCGGAAAAGTGGCTGAATGTTTATACCAAAATTTGATGAATATGCGCAGGTGAAAGCCAGTGGGCCATGTTTCATAGAGGCTTATGAAGGTCAAGCAGGATAGGCAGTAGTTGAAAATATTATATGTCAACATGATGGTAGTTACTATTCTTTGTTTTTGCACTTTGATCGGAAGGGCTTTGGCGCTTATGCCTCACCCAAAACAAAACACACCCTAATAGTAGCAGTGACTACAGTACCAATATTACAAGGATTTTATTTATAAATATTTATACAATATAAAGGATATTAATATTTTGCATTATAAGAAGAGCATTATGCAGTAGTGATTTCCTGTTAGATGTGTTTTCCAAAGTTTGTTCTACTGATTTTTTTATATATATATATATATATATATATATATATTACAATTTTTATTGTAAAAGCTTTTTTTATATACAGCAAACTTTGAGAAAAAAAAATGCTGCTATATGCAGAATTTTCACTTAGCATTACATTGCCTCATAAAAAAAAAACAACTACAAATATCTACATACGTTTAGCACTTGTAAAACAGCCTGAGTTTTGAAACTCACCTGAGGTTAAAAAGGAGGAACAAATTAGAACAAATCACAACTGTAATTCTACTTCAAATTAGTCTGGGTTATCTCTACAGTTTTTGGCTTTATAAAACCTGGCAAGCCTGGGTCATTGATAGGCTTAATCTGTTTTCCTAATGTAAGAGGGGTTCGTCTGTCATGTATAATCTTAACACGATTTGGTTTGCACTGGAATTCACTAGGAATCGGGGGATATCCTGCAGATGGCTGGGTTGAGTTTCATAGGGGACTTTACTCTGTCACCTCTATTTCCACATGCTGTGTTAGAGCCACACACAAAGTGACCTGATGACATTTGTGGTATATTTCTAACTAATATTGTTTGCATATGAAATGTTTCAGTCCGTTTCTCGGCAGTACAAACCCATGACATGAACTGTGATTTTCTTAAAAAAAAAAGAAAAAAAAAGTCAAAGACGTGAAGTGTTGACAGGTGGGATTTTCAGATTGCACTCGGTGCTCCACACGTAGTCTGAGCTTAATGCCATTTCAGTAAGGGATTATGATTCAAGAACTTCCAGACAAACAGAATTTCATTGGATTGATTTATTTGGTCACACAAGATATGGGGCTTCAACTTAAGAAGTCTTTTAGAAACAACACAAACTTGTTGATTTTTAGATGATAATGTAGTAGTAACACCTCAAGCAAGACAAACAATGTTTAGGTTTGGATTTAAATGTATGCATTTTCAGGTTTGGTGTTGTTCATATTTGTTGTGTAAACACAGATGTGCACAGTGTGTCATTTTACTACACACAGACTGTGATCTTCTTGATGTTCATGTGAGGATTTCAGGATTTCAGCTGCTTTTAAGTTTGGAAACATGCTATTTTTGCCCTTTGGTGATTCTAAATAGACTATATGATTGACTGATCTGCACAACACAATTTTACTATAAATGTGAAATTATCTGGACTGATTTGTTTTATATAAATATGTTTTATATAAATATGTATGTATATATGTATATATATGTATATATGTCTTTTAGAATTTGGCAGTTTATTTGAAGAAAAAAAAAACATTCAAATTAGATTTTGCTCCTCATAATACAGCATAAAATAGACTTTGCAGATTTGTTCTGTTTTTTTTTTTACACAAATCATTGTATAATGTATGATCTACAGGCCCGTAGCCAGGGGGTTCTGGGGTGGTTCCAAAGAACTGACAAAGGTCCAGAATTTGCCATTGGTCCAGAATTTTTGCCACTATATTCTCATTTGACCTATTTTGACTGCTATGTCATCATAAATTGTGGAAATAATCCATCGAAGGTTTTAAGAAAATGCACAATATGACATAAGTGAAGTCAACATTCACTATTGACCGACTGTTGTTAAAAAAAAAACATTTTACAAGTAGCCTAACTTTTATTTTAAAACGTGAACCTTATTCTTGTGAGAGAAAAAAAAAAACAGTGAAAAGGTCTGAAGCACCAAAAGGCCGCCTATTAAAGTTAATTTTAATACTAATTAGGCGTGTGTGAATCCAAAATCAAACAAAAAGTTTTCAGGGGTAGCTTAAATAATGTGTCGGTGCTCTTTATGTAAGAGATTCATCCGAATAAACATCCAAATCAGTCCAAGGCACTCAAAAAATGTGGAATAAATAATAAAAAGCCTTTATTGACATGGCTGTTCCTTAAAACTGCTGCTACATCAGGTTACCCTGATGAAGTAAGTGTTATCAAAATGTGTAGGTACAGTTTTAAGAAATAGCCATGCCAGTGAGTCCTTTTTATTATTTTTTTTTCCACATTTTTCAAGTGCCTTGGACTGACTTTTGCTGTTTTTACCAATTAAGCTGTTGTTTTTAGATGAATTTTCAAGAGAGGCTAGAGGAAAATCGTGAAGCTCTTCTTTATATTTGTTTATTATAAATCTTTAGGAAATATTTACATTTATAGGGACATTAAAAATGGAGGATAC